TTTGGAATTTTAAATGAAAGGGAATGTAACATGTACAAGAAAAGAAAGGATTAAGGTAATTAATAATGAAATCAAATGACTCAGTACACAACGGCGTTAAGAATCCTTCGGGGTCTATAACAACAGGTTTAAGGCCCATTTGTCTTTTTAATATATATAACCCGTTCTAAAGAAAATCTAATTCATTAGTTTAGATTGTTACTTAATGACGAGCATCGTGATTTGTACAGGTCACATGATATTGTTAGGATAGTGAAATCTAGGATACTATGATGGGTTGGGCATGTAGTTACAATGAAGAAGAAAGGTACATGCACAGATATTTGTGAGAAATCCTCTTGGAAAATGTTCATTCAATGTAGCAGAAGAACAAGAAAACAACTTTAAGAGGGGACTTAGGCAGATGGGTTGAGAGGATGGACGGTAGATGGTAGCGATAGATGAATCTTGTTGAATACCGTGCCCAGTGGAGGGGTTTGGCATTATGGATTTTGCATATTTGTGTGGCAATGAGACGGGTTTTAGCACGATTTTAAAAATTTCTTTTACATTAAGAACAGAATTTGTCTGAATAATATATCAATAGGCCTACCATTTCCAAGAGCCCTGTGGCCATCACTCAATATAAAGAATTGTTCTGTAATTATTTTCATTACATCTGAGTAAAGAAGAAGCCAGACTTTAATCAGTTCCTTTATGGGTTAAAAAATTTGAGTGGAATGTACTCGTTGCAGGCAGCTGGGTGTTTGGTTGTGTCAGTGCTAGACAATAGGAGACTCAACTGTTTGGCTTCCTCTCAGTCTGCTGCTGCCTTCTGTCTGCCTCTTTTGTTTCCCATCACTCATCACGGACTCCGCTCCACTCATTTTTTTTCTGGTCAGAGAGGGTTTTTGTTTCCAGTATTCTGTATATAAAAAATACAAGAGGAATCTCGATGAATAGCCAATTTCATCCAGTGACGTGAATTTAGACAATTATTGTTCGAATCATTCCCCTCTGTAATCACATCCTTCCCATCTCTTCCGGTAAAAGAGACAGAGAAAGAATGGGGAACTCTCCATCTCTTTCCCACACTCACTTCATTACTCTCGCTTTTGTCATTTGCTACGAGACGATACATTATTTGAATTCTGTTTGCTCATTTTGCTAGAAAACAATCAAACAATTCATATATTCCAGACCGATTTTGGGGTCCACCCAGCGTCGTATCCGACCGACACCGGAGGTAAAGCGGCAGGTTCGTGAAGGTGACTTCGAATTAGTACGAACGTTAAGAATGTGTGTAGCTTTACCAGCACACAAAAATTTCTCCATACCGTGATGACTGAGGGAAAATCTTTTACCATTTTCTACACTACAGCGTGTAAAATAATTACATTGAACAACAAAATGTTATATTTCGTCAATAACATGGACAAAACAAGCTTTTTCGATATTCGTGTATTCTTATCATGAAAATGACAGCAAGAAGTTTGTAACCTATAATGTTTTTTTGTTATCCTCTACGTTGTATTTTATTCAAAATATATGAGCTTATGTATCACCTATAATGCAGATTTAGACATGGGTGTTATTCAGTTAATATTACGCTAGGAATCACTATTAAAACATCAAAGAATAATATTATGGATGCAAATATGGCACTGGGGAAAAATATACAATGAAGAAACGTGTACATGAAATCCACTAATAAACATAATCATCTCACATTATGGTTGACAAATACAAAGAAAATCACTCAGAAAATTACAAAAGTAAAAAAAAAATCTGACGCTAAATTAATTACACAGAAAGTCATTTCTCTTCATATTTAATGTGACGTGAAGCAAACTTTTTTAAGCCCAGATCTGTAATGAGCATGACAGAACTAATGTAAAAAATTAGTTTTCAATCATGTTACCAAATCCTTGTTGCCCAGTGTTATGGTTCTGAAGCGTCGTCTTCTCTACTTTGAATACATAACCACGCCATGAAAACGAGTAAAGTTAAGACTTTGCTCATGCTTGACCTCAGCATCAAGTGGATGTAAGAAAGAATCCGGTGCCAATTGAACTGATAACGAAAAGAAAAATACTTGTTTCTACAGCGAATTGAACTACGTTCTTGCAGCCTGTAGCCAGTTGCTGTATTAATTGAACTATCCCGACACATTGCAGTTGATGCACATTCGTTAAATAATCCGACGATCTAAATAACTTCATAGCACAACAGAGCCTTCATTGAAATAAGATGTAGTTATTTGGTTGTACATTTCCGTGTTCAAAAGAGCCCGATATTTGAGTTTTTTTAATATTATCTTCCAGTCTGCATCTTGATCTCCCAAATATTTGACTCGAAACACATATAAGCCTTTTTTGAGCCATAAAATGGTAAAGTACGAAATCTGAAGCAACCAAAGTCGAAACCGTGGCTTAAGGTCACTACTGCTCCCATGACTGCCTTCTGATGGTTCGTCTCGATGTGAAGGAACGAACATTCATACGCGATGTCACGTGTCAAGCCTATACGAGACGTCTTCGTCTTCATCGCTTGCAGTAACAACATATAACTCATGCAAGTACACGATGTACATCTTGCATATGAATAGCCGCATTTTCTGAGGTCAGTCCTGTAATAGCGGACTAGTTTTACAACATGTACCCATAGTGTCCGCATGTAGCCAGTTCCGAAGGTCATTCAATAGCAATAAGAGCAGAAAAGTAATCAGGTACAGAGAAAATACTTTGGTTGAAAGGTAGTAAGTTCTTGGCCCGCAATCCGTGTATTGTGTTCACTAAACTTGGATGTGTTCTTTGTCACTACAGCACAAACAGGTCTGGCGGAGCGTGACTTGTTCATAAGTGTTAAACAAATCCTGAGGCAAGGGTCGTTAAAATTTTGGCAGTTGAGTATATAAATATCGTTCTTCACAAGTCACAACAACACACACGCGTACGACAGCTGAAACAAATTAATCAGTCCATAAATAAGTAAGTATTATATACTTTTCGGTGCAGTGTGTTTCCTGATAAGCCTATCTGAAAATCGTGTTTCTGTCCAAGCATCCCGTAATTCAAGGCAGTACTGAACACAATCCGACAGAGAATTGGGTTAGACAATTATTTTCAATGCAGATTTACATAAACACTGTTTTAACCTCCCTTCCAACTAACTAACTAGATGGCTTACCGAACCCGAAGGTTCATCACCGAATTAACCAAAGCCCTCCACCGGACCCTGTCCTGGGCCAACAAAATCCAGTTTCCTTCAACTCCTATCTCCCATAGATCCGGCCTGAGATTATCCTCCCATCTACGTCTAGGTCTCCCCAGCTGTCTCTTCCCTTCAGGTTTCCCAACCAGTACCCGGTGCACACCTCTTGTCCCATCCATGCGCGCTACATGCCCAGCCCATCTCATTCTTCTCGACTTAATCACCCTGACAATATTGGGGGAGCAGTACAGATTTTTAATCTCATCATTTAACCTCCCTTCCACGCCTCGAAAAAAGTTTGCGACCCTGAAGCTGAGCAAGTTCTATTTATCGCAGACACGTACAGTCTTTATAATGCATAACATGCTTGAATTCAAATGTAATTCGACAATTCATCAGCAACTGACCCTGTAGCTAAAGTACGCATTAACATTTTCATAATGTAACCTAAACGACGTGACCTGATTTTAAACCAATATTATGCGCCAACCAGGTTTCACAGTAACAATAAGCAATTAGACTATATCTTGTAACCTAGATTTATGCAATTCATAAAGCAATGACATGACACTGGGTGGTCTTTATGTTTCTGTTGGAAGAAGCTAACAAAGTGAGCGCATAATGGAGATATCATGTTCGTCTGTAGGTATGGATCGGTACTTAAATGTGTCCAGCAGTAAGCAGACTTTGGGTCCGCCTATTTGTTTATCCATTGCGAAGCCCACCTGCCAGGTCGCCTGAACTACTTGAGTATATGACGACTGCAAACACTGATGAATGAAGAGCCTTCGGGGTTGAATATAATTTTTTTTCTGGGTGCCACCTCGTAGGTAAACCATGTTGTTACCCTAACAGGGCATATGTGGTGTATCAGATCAGAGCAAACACTTTGGGAATGATTACTGTCTAGAAAAGATAAAGAATGTTTACGCTGAGTTAGATTCAACATCCGCCTCTAATTTAGTGAACAGTCACCTCAGCTGTCACTAGCAATTGTACTTTTGTTGAACTGAGTACATAAGACCCGGTACCTGTAAACCAGTAGTTTCGTCTCTCACCCTTAAAATCCTCAATTACCCTTCCCAGAAATTTATATTTTATATTTTAATAGTTCTTCTAAATAAATGGTGGTTTTTATTCACATGGGCTTCGATTGTGGGCTCTGAAGCCATCAAAAACTCACAATCCGCTCTTTTCACTGGCTAAAAGCGGTCGGAGTATGAGACTGAACATTCACTTCACCTAGTTGAAACATGTTAAATGCTACAGTTTACCTCTTCTCTTACACATTTTTTCATAACTCGATGCTTAATTAAAACAAAGAAAATATTACCTTTTGATTACGATCAAACACTCACTGTGAAATACGTTTCCAGGTGGGTATTTGTTCTTTAAGTAACTAGGAAGTCCGGCTAAGTCTTTTTCGGTCCATGGTTTAATCGCTCAAAATCGAAGTCGTAAATGAATGTAATGATTAACGTACATTAGCTAAATATCGTTCTTTATTCACAAAAAAATTCACCTGAAACTGAACTCACTCTTTGTGAACCCACATCAGCTCTGAATCCTGACGCTCCTTTGCATGTTTCACCATTTCCATTTTTTCAAAGGTTACAAATTAACCGTTTCTTCGGCCTTACGTTAAGATAATGACAAGAATAAGAAACATATTTGTTAGGTAACCGTTAAGTACAAGAGCGTGACGCGAGTATTACAGGTATATTTAATTATAATTATTTTCTTCCTTTATTTAATTATATTCTTCCGGAACTACATATGCTATATAAGGCCAAATGGCAGGATATTGTTTAGGTTTTGCGGATGTAGTATGAAGCGTTGTGGCCTACTTCAGGCGCTATTACATAATTTTCCTGAAAGGATAGAACAATCCCACGATATCCCTCAGTCAATTAAAGTGTCGACCTCGGAGCCAAAAATCAAACCCAGGACTTCGTTATAATAGGACGTTTGATGTTAGATAAAAATCTGCTATACATAATAAGACGTTTGATGTTAGATAAAAATCTGCTGTAAACTGTAGTTTTGGCAGTCTGGTTGTCATACCCGGTAGGACCTTCGTCTAAGTTCGTTGCCCGCTTGAAGGGGGTGGGAGATGAACATTACTTGACAAAAAGCCGCGAAAAAGAATGTGCAAATTGCAGGTTAGCAGCGCATTCCTGTAAAACTGCGGTCACACTGTTTACCTGGACAATGATGACAAAAATGGGCGTTGAATTGACACTGCTCACACTACGGAATGGACCGTTTCTTCACGGCATTATAATTGTAAATTGTTTCTAAACTCTTTTTTTTTAGAATCGCCGAAAATAAAAGAATTTAACCAACTGTGTACACCAAAACTGAAACAACAATGTCTCAAGCACCTTCTTATGGTTTGTGCTGGAGGAAACCGCAAATATTTGTGATGGACCGTAATGTTAAACTATATTTCACAAACGTTATGGTGAATGAAGACGACATAGCCTAGCAGGGACGGGAGAGAGGAAAAGAAGAAAGGAGTAAACAACCTGACAGCGTCACCAGTCGGAGTATTCGTGCTACTATTTAGGGTCGTGGAAGAGGTAGCGTTTCATCCGTCTCCAACAGAGCAGATCAGCTGCCCTGTTGGCTGAAATCAGACACCAGACGGACCACTGTTTCGGCAGTACAGTTCAACTTGTACGACAAGATCAACGAACTTCGTTCCTGGGACAGAACTCCTCTAATGATGTAAATTTCATTCCGATGGTACAAAGACTTTTTAGAACGCTGATGGTTACACAACTGTTCAAAGAATTCCATGCCTCCTTTCCCTGTTAATTTCTTTCTTCCCTTCTTTTCAGTATCTTGTTTCTCCATTTTAATAATCTTTGTCGTTACTTTGCTTGTCCACCTTTGAGGGCCTTTGTGAGAATTGCTAATGCATTACTTTTTGATGACGAGGTGTTCTCAGCACTCAGCAAGGCTCGAGTACTAACTCTTTTCGGCTGTCAGCGACATGCTTGGTGTTACTCGCCGTATCTGGAGGTCATCACAATTAATTAAACTGTACCAGCTTCCAAGACAGTGGCACAGGCAATAAAGAAACACAATTAAAGTGTTTATATGAGACAGGGTTATTCTCCTTCTCATCTATACAGCGTCACATAACCCATGTAGGTCATATAGCGTCGTTAAATCATTTACGAACTGGTCGATATAAGTTAATCGAACTTTAGCTACATTGAAGTCGTGTCTCTCGAACCGGAATTAAGACGCCTACATGTTGAGTTAACTTTGTAGGCACCGTTCTTTATCTACGTTTATAACCAGTATTCTCGCTCATTGCAAGTTGCACACGGAAACAAGACTTGTCGTTCTTCTCCATCCACAAACCGAGGAAACCGTGGGAAAACACCACGTGACTGCTCTTGACATCACGTATCCTTCACATCGGCCACAGGACCATGCGTCATCAGGTTCGAAACCACAATCATTGCACCTTATAATAGGACAATGCATTGTCTGGTATTTCTCAGCTCAGGTACCGGTAACACAGTAATAATAAGGTGTAAGCCTCAGTCAGTTACAAAAGCACTTCGTCGTAATTTCGAACGTTTTCAATATTATGCCGTGAAGGTTGCTGCTCGACTCTCCGTGAATAAGAACTCACTTGGGGTTAAGTACCTTTATTGTGACTTGCTGGCAGCGGGGCCATTTGACTACAAGGAATTCAGGTGCTAGACTGGAGGCGTGTTACCGGCTAACAAAACTCTCAGTCAATAGACCATCGGTTTTGCATTCTAGCCATCGTGGGTTAATTATTTTGTATCATTTCCTGATATCATTTGTCTGTGTTTGGTCACATGAAAGGGAAATTTTGTTTCAGGTCACTTTAGCTGCATTCCACCAGATAACACGAGGAAAATAACACAAATAATGGAATCAGGATAGCCGGTCCCATGATTTGAACTTGGTACCTCCAAAATACAAGTCATAAGGGCTACTTGGGACTAGAGGTTCTAACGGCGACGATTATGAAGATTATTGTCTTGTAAGTTATTACGCCGTTTAGTCTAGTAGAAGTTTGCCGACGTTTCACAGGTTCTTATTTATTGCCTTAGTTATCAGGGAGATACATGGCAAGCAACACCCCAATATTGTAACCATTCTCACTCTATGTTCTTTCCTTAAGGTTAAGGAAACAAAGTCCGTGTTGGGTCCATTTCACTGTGCGATATCAGGTTGCAGATGTATCAGGCGGTCTAAGGATGTGGATTTCACCTGAGAATAAACAGCAGCGGACAGCGAAGAAGGCGTGTTCTCCAGCTTGGGGGATTTTGCTGCTGGCTGACAACCTCTCAGCATAAAAGAAGAGTAACATTGCAGCCAACTTTGCTATATTATACTGTACATTTGTCATCGATAGTTACACAGTAGTGTCGTATAAGATGTCTTTTGCGTGAAAGCTTATGGCACGCGTGCTGTAGGTTGCAAACCCTGGACTTAATTTATGCATTCGTCGCGGCGAATTTCTGAACCTACTACAACAACAACGAGCAGGTAGGACAAGACAGTAAGGCCTAGAATACATGCGTAGCATTCCCAGTACACTAATTATACTTTGGCTACAAGCTGTGAATTAGCCTTAACACAGTTTCCAGAAGAAAAGGAATCACAAAAGCAAAGCAGTGGACATTTTTAATTGGGATAATACACATGTGTAAATAACTTGAGCTTAGGTAGAAGGGGTTGTTCGAGGGAAGTGTTAATATACATATGCAATGCAGAGATGGACTCGCATACAAATGACCATTAGATCAACAATAGGACAAAGCCACAGAACGAAGAGAGGTAAAAAGTACGAGGGTGGTGGTCCATGGGACAAACGCAACACCATTATTTTTTTGTCATTCCTTTTTTTAATGGTTTTGAGTAGGATTCCAGCAGAATGGTACTGTGATGCATTCTTTATTTGAAAGGCAGACATGCTCGCATGTGTGTGTATGTGTTAAAGGAGTAATCAAAGCTAGAATATATGTATACGTGTTTCAAAGTGGGTGTGGTGCGTAGAGTGGTATGAGACATTTTTATACATATATTTTTATCAGAAATAGTTCTCAAATTCAAAAGTGGCATATGTTAATAGAACAACAAGCTACAACAGGAACTTATGACGCTTGGTTTTATTTAAAGGCCTTTTCTTCCTGTAAAGGAATCAGGAACACTGTTAAAAATACGAGTCAGGACAAGCGATTTGCAGAAGCCAATAACTTCGCTATACTACATTGTTAAACTTAGGCGGCTGATTACTATATTGCTAATGTTTTAGAATATCAGTTATATTTTATGTAGACTTTGATTTAATGTGTAAAATGTATTAGACTTTTATAACTAGATTATATGATCATAATATAGTCTACAAGTGTAATACCTACTATCGCATTTATCTGAGATGACATAAGGTGTGTTACTGTAACTGAAGTAGGCCCTCAATCTAATGATCTTATAATTATGAAGTTTACGGTACTTGTGTAACAATACAATTAAATATTAGTCAAAGGAAATTCTTGTAATGTGAATAAATGACCCTTTGTTTATTTCTTATAAACATTTCTCAATTAACAGAATAACGCTCCACGTTCCACGTTCTGACTAGTACTTCAATTAGGATGTACACCCCTCTTCCACATAACTGAGCTACTTCACTTCTCATTTCTCATTTACCAAGAAGAGGATGGACGCTTTACTTAATACCTGAATAAACAGAAATAGTGGGCATCAGTTGGTTAAGGTCTCCGGTAAGTGTTGAGTCATTAACAGACAAGTTCTTGTGTACACAGAAAGGGCGATGAGTTGACGTCTCACACTCAACTAATGAACGCAACCCGACTGACACTAACCTCACGATGGAGAGGGGATGATCGTCACACATCACATTTATCGTTATCTCTCTATGATCGTTCAACTACATGAGTTTACGATATTCTTAATAATTTATGGGAACTGTCGATATAATCACGACGAGAAAAGAAGTTCTGGAAATCTGGGACAATAAAAAGTTCTGTTTCTTTTTAACGTGATAAAAGTTTAATTTGGGCTTCATGTAGCGTAGAACCAAAATAACGTCCTTACTTTGCAGTATTTCATTTGGGTATTACATTAACTCCATAATACTACTACCACACTTTATTATGGGGTATATCATGTAGTTATGTGTTCTCTTATTTCATCCATATGTGTTAGATACGTCGCCCTTCTACTGATCATCCTCATAATATTTGGTGAAGATTAGAAATTTTGGAGGGCTTCATTGTGTAGATTTGTCCATCCTCCTTTTGCGTCCTCTAATTTAGGTCCAAGTGTTCTCTTCAGCATTTTATTCTCAGGCACTCCCAATCTTGGTGGGAGAGTCAGAATATTTACGTTTATAGACAGAAGACTATAGGATGAAATATTCCAAACTGAATGGTAAAAAGTAGGCTAATCTACACTCGAAAATATTTTGACTTTGAAACATATTGCCGGAATATATGTAAACTGTCTTTATATGTGACGACTAATTGGAATATATGCCACTGCTTTACATAGATGTAAGCAAGTGAATTAAATTAATCGTAATAAAGTTCTTCTAGAACTTTCTTGTTTTGAACTAACAAACCAAATGCGGAACGTACGTGCAGTTCGTGTGGGAAGATTTCAGTGTGCGGGTATAATACAATGGATCAGCTAATAGCATGTAAACAATCTACCCGAAAGAAATCAAGATAAAGGAGGAAAATAAGCGTAACAAGCACATATATTTCCTGGTGTGTAAACATGTGTGCAACCAGCGGAGACAAATACAATAATAAAAAACGGCACGCAAATGAGACGAGATGCGGTCAGGATATGCAGCAGCTGACTGGAATACGAGCCGCGCGGCAAATGACTGATCTCGGCCTCACGCTCTGAGCAACAGCACAAATTCAGGGAAAAACAGGGAGACGAGGAACAAGGCAAATAAAAATATATCAGAAGGATCTTCGTGCATTTTACTTTTGGCTAGAAATTATGTGTGGGCGGGATGAGGTTGGCGAGTTTTAATGTTCTCAAGGTGGCGAGTATGAAGATGGATGCGCCCATATCAACAATTTTCGAGGGTTTTCATCCAGTTCTGTCGCTGTTTAACGTGGAATCGTGTCCGGCATTTACTTCGTCATCCTGAACACAGAGTCAGCACGTTCCTCCAAAACGTCAGATATGTATTCCACTATTACACGGCTTCAGAACAAGAACATAACAAATATTACTTTTCTCGAAAATGGTTCATGGTACAAAATATAGTCTGTACTTATTAATTTCCTATAACTTTTATTGGGGGGTCCTCAGTGGCTGCGCGGTCTTAGGCGTGGGCCTTGTGCCGCTTGGTCGCTAGGACCGTGGGTTCGAATCCCACTCAAACCATGGATATTTGTCCGCGTTTTTCTGTGTTGTCCTGTCCTGTGTACAGGTAGAGGCCTTGCGACGGGCCGATCCCTCGCCCAAGGAGTCCTACCAAATGTCTATAGATCAACCGAACGATAAAAGTTGGGACCCACAGTGCTCAGGCACTTGAAGAACGGGTCGTTACCAGTAACCTCCCCCCCCCCACCCAGTGTAACTTTTATTGTAAAGAACTTTCAACGCAGGTTTTGTATAAGTACAACCGTAGAAATTAATTATAACTCGTATATGCTTCGTGGAATTCAGTGACTGAAGTATCATTAGTTTCTATAGTAAGTTACTATCTGCATAAATTAACATGAAGGCCAGTCGGCTATTTAAAACACCAAACAGCGTATTTGGACCCCAAATGATAATAGCTGCAGCTTTCCGCTGTTGAACCAGAGACCCTGCAGTCAACTTGCGGTGTGTTCTTCAGCGATTATCCATCCTGTCAGGTGGAACACACGGAATACTGGTACAATAACAATTAGCGTTTCCCGGTACCAGAGGAGTGTTCTGTGGCAAGGTCAATGGGCATGCACAGAATATAAACATAATGAAAGGAAGAAAGTCAACAGAACTCTTTTAAAGTTTTGCAATGCACATCTGATACGTAAGATTAATAGCTATATGAATGCAACAAAAATTAAATAGTATTGTTATGAATGTGATTTTTCTAACGGCTTGATGCTTATTCAATGGAGGGATTCATGTAAAAGTCTTATACTGTCGGAGTTTAGAGAGAGGTATCCGACAACCACGCCCCCAGTCCAATTGACGAAAGCAGGAACTATGAAGAAGATACGGTACGTCCACAATCTGCGGGCAAGACGTTTCATGAATGAATCTGTAATATATCGCAAATGTAATTTAAAACAATGAAAGAATGAAACAGTACAGAAATAAGGAAGTAAGTACTGTCGTCATTACGTTGGCAAACCATGCAAATTGGCTACGGTTGAAGTGTAAGGTCACCGGCCTTTCATTTATTATCTTACAAACCCACGTAACACGGACAGAATTACTTTCTAGCAAACGCGTATCGACTATACTTCTATGTGCAGCTGTACTTTATAACCCACAATTTTTATTCTCACATTAGCATAATACAAGCTTACAAAATATATTTCACATTCTTCAGAATTCAAACAATTTAAATTTTAGTCTCTAAACAATTAATCCAATATTTATACGTCATATTTTTACATTAAAACCTTAAATAATTCAGCATTTGCTTATAAGGACTGAGTAAAACCTTGAAAATCCTTATGATATTTGGCTTTTGACTCAAGAATCGAACCCACGACCTTCCGATACGAAGAATGAATAATACTAACCTACCTCTACACTCCGTAACTCAAAAAATTTAGAATGTTAACAAATGCAGGAAAATTGTAGAACTGTAAGGTTGAATTAGTCTTCAGCCTTAAGAAAAATTTCAAATGTCATTACAAGAAAGAATAAAATAAAATCGATGGCTAATGAAAGATTCGTACTACTTGAAAAACAGGCTATCAAATTAGTAGCAAATTACATCATATGAAGTGGAAATAAACGAAGGGTGAATAGCGACAGTCACGTGACATCGGAGGTAAGGAAGCACGCTAATGACCGATAATAATGATGACGATGGACTCCCCTTCTTGAAATTGATGTCAGAATGCACATTGGAGTTTTAGTAAAGGGGTTTTTAGAATCGGCCATCATGCATAAACTCAAAGATGTAATTGCAACAGGCGGATGTCATTAACCCAATATGAAGTTGTACTTCTTATGATACCATCCACTCAACATTATTGCTAGTGCAGCAAGTACATAGAGTTATGCAATCGCTGACGTGAACCACACAACTTAAACAATTCGTGCCAGTAAGAGGCATAAGTGGCTGCTGAATCTAAAGTTGTCCTCCCAAATCACACGAAAGACATAATTCTCATGACGGGACAACGGAGGGGCAGGAGGAGAAGAACTATGAAAAAGGTGGAGGAGACGATGAATTAAAAGGAGAAAGGAAGAGGAAGGAAAGTGGACAAAGGAGAAGAAAGTGCTGTACTAATTACTCCCAGTTTTACCTGAGGGTCTCTGCCGCCTCAGAAAACCGCTGCACGTTGTTCATTATAGTGCTGATGCCTGGTTTTGCGGTGATCTGAGGCTTCTATTAAGCCTTCTTCAGCTTCTGGTAAAAATATCACAATGGAACACCAATACTGTTCTGGTGGGAGAGGCAAAGGCTCTGTTGTCTCTTCCGCCGAACAAAAGAAATACGATATGAAAGAAGACAAACAAAAGGTACAGATTATACACATAATAGTAACAGAAAATGAGATTGTAACCGAGTTCTTCGTAATTGAAAAGAAAAAGAAGGTAAGAAAGCATTGTCACAAACAAAACAAGAAAAATGCATTTCTTTCAGGCTTACAGTCACTACAGTCTGTTTCAGAAGACTAAATACGTCCATTAAAAAAATAAATTTAACAGTTATTTCGCCTTAAAAATGTAAACGTAAGACACTCCGAAAGATCGCGACACAGCCTAATTCTACACGGTACCACTACCCACAGATAAGATCCACACTTGATACTTTGTTTCGGATTGCTTATTCAGTTCTTACAACATGTTTACTTCAGACTGGGTATCACTCGAAATTAAGAATTTATTGATTCAGGCAAACCTGCAGAAATCGTGGATATATTTTTTTCATTTACACTAGTGCGCAACGGACAAACCGTAGCTTGTATTTTTTATTTAGTGTTCTGTCTGACGACAGGTCCATATGAACAGGATCTTTCCATCCTTTTCTCGGACTGGGACCTGTTCATATACGTTCTTGGTAGATGATCCAGAAGTGGTTTGCCATTGCCTTCTTCTGTGTGTGAATGGAGTAATTGTTGGGATGCCACGGAGAAACCGGGGAAGCCCCCGGAGGAAAACTCCGTGTTGCCTAGACCACGGCCTTGCCCAACACAAGTTATAAATTCTAACTATAATATGACACTGTTTGTAGCGAATAGGAAACACTTTAAATTAATTTAAGGCAATTGCAATCAATCTG